TGGGAGGGATGAGGCGAATCAGCCGTCCCGGGGTGACGGCGACGGTGACCGTCCCGGGCCCTTCCTACCCTCTTGACTTCGGTCCGGTGTGGGTGTTCGTCTCTCGGGATGGGGTCTCGGGGATACGCAGGGGTGTCTCGTCTCCCCAGGAGCGCGCAGGCCGTTTTCCATCACCACTAAGCAGCCTTCATCCATCTCCTTCCCCTGGACGTATCACACGTCCTTATTCCAGATCCTTTCCAGGCAGAGATCCCCAAAGTGTACGAGGAGAACCTGCCACCACCTGCCCTGTCCCAGGCAGAGCTGAGGGAGATGAGGGGGGAATGCTACCATAGCATACACCACACCATACCATACACCATACCATACCATATACCACACCATACCATACCCCATACCATATACCACACCATACCATACCCCATACCATACACCACACCATACCATACATCATACCATAGCATACACCCCATACCATATACCACACCATACCATACCCCATACCATACACCACACCATACCATACATCATACCATAGCATACACCACACCATACCATGCACTATACCATACCATACACCATACCATACCAAACCATACCATTTTCATCTTATGCCTAAGAAGCATTTAAGGTGAGCGGCGAGAGCAGGCGCTCCGGGACCTGGGGCCTCTCTGCAGCCACAAGCCAGGCTGGAGGAGGAGGAGGAGTCAGGAGGAGGTGGCTGCAGCACGGGGAGGACGTGTCCCATCACGGAGCGGGGAGAACAAGCCAAGGCAAGCAGGGGGTGGAGGCAGCGTCCTCAGTTGCCTCCGTCCAGCCCAGCAGCAGGGGAGAGGAGAGCAAGTACAAGCAGTGCACAGCCCTGCTGCTTAGTAAAATGCAACCAGCGCCTTAAAGCCACTACAAAACCGGGAGTTGCTCCAGCTGGCCCAGCTGCCAGCCACGCTGCCCGGGATGAAGGCACTCGCCCAGCTTCTGCTGAAACTGGCCTGCAGCTAAAGCAACAGTAGGAGGCCAAGCTCTTTTCTTGCTTTTTCTTTGATCAACCATGAGAGAGTTACTATCAAAATAGGATGGGATTTCTGAATGAATATTCCCTGGCAGCGAACCAGGGTTGTTCAGAGCCATTGTCTCGCAGCCCCGGATCCCTCCCTCGGCGTGAACCGGGGGAGGATCTGCAGCCACAGGTCTGATTTGATCCGCAGCGAGAACGCGTTCTCCTTCCACGGCCAGGGCCTCATCTGGCACCTCCACAAGCATCTGGTGCAGCTGGAGAAACCGAGGCGAGGAATGAGATCATGCGGGTTGGCCTCTGCCCGAGGAGCAGCCCCGCGGAGGCCCAGCCGGCGCTGGTTCCCACAGTGCCGCTCCTGTCGCTGGCAACGCGCTTTCGCACCGGTGCTCCCTGATAAGGCGGGAGGGGCGGCCCCGGCCCCCCGCGCCT